GCCTCTTTGTCAACAGTTCAGAAGCTTTCACAACAACATACAAAGCTCAGTTACAAGTATGCATCGTAGTATGTGGGGCCTAGTACCTCTCTTAATAAAGGAAGAAATTTTAGTGAAAAAGTGTTTCATTATTCATTTATTTTTTTGGTGATTTTTCTCTTTTTTAAGGCAAAGTTGCCTTACAGACAACTAGCTGTGTAGCAAAAATGTTTGCTGTGAAAATGCCTGTGGCACAGAAACCTCAACACAACCTTCAGATTATAAAGTGAAAGGGTAGAAAGTAAATAGTGTTGAATTCCTCCTCCCTCTTTCTCCCTGCTCCTCTCCGTCCCTCTCCCCGCCCCAATTCCTCTTGTTTCTGTATCTCTTGCCCCTAAGACATATATAACCTTATAATATTTCTGGTACTCTTGCCCTGGGGATGCTCTTAATAAGAAGTCCCACAGTGAGTAGGTACAAATAAATATTCCCTACCTCCAGTGAGTTCCATGATCAGCTTGCTGGATTTCCTTTTCTTGTTGGGGGCTGGGGTTCCTGAGAGTGGCATTGTGGTGGTGGATTCAGCCTGGAGAGGTGGGAAGGGGGAGTTAAAGGAGGGACAGAGATTGGAAAAGGTGAACCCTATGGTAAGGCAGTACTTCTTAACCTGGTGTTAAGACAAAATGTCATTAGGTTTGCAAAGAAATACTTATTTCCCCAACAAAAGAAAAGCTTTCTTATTCCCCTTAAAGAAAAGTTTTCTTTCCTTGGGAGGCAGGGCAGAAAATATAGCTAACTCTCCTGTCCTTACCTTCTACCAACCTCTTTTCATTTGTTTTACAGAGCTGGTATAGGGATTAGGGACAGAGAGTAAATTGGGGAGAAGGGGGGGCAGGTTAAAAAAACCCAATACATAACACACAGGCAGGGCAATGCACCCATGTTTCATTGACTTGGAGGGATTTGAAGTTCTTATGTGCATGGGGATCTCAGATTGGGGAGGTCCTTCCAAGCTCCAGTCTCTCCTCAGTCTTCCCCAAGCCCCAGGGGGGAGAAAAAAATGTTCTGCCAGGCTTGAGGAGATTCAGCCAAAAACATTCTCCATTGGAAGAAGTTGTTGTTCCTCAACTGGGCCTCTGGAACGCGGCCTGGGATGTCACAAGAGTCTCCCTCTCCCTTTCAGTCACTCCCACTCCAGACCTAAGAACTCAAGTGGAGAGGGGGAGTGACGGGCATTTGAACCTTGATGCATGTCATTTCAGCGATATCATAGCAGTGGGGAGTTGAGGGAGGACAGAAACATAATAATAGACTCTGGCAGTTGAGAGGAATAAGTTGGGAAAAGATACAAACACCAGTTCCTCCTTATCAAATGTTTACACATATCAAAATGCATTCTTCTCCTGATTTCTGTGTCACAATAGAATCTACAATTCTAATTTATTGAGATCTGCTGAAGCCAGAGTTCAGGGGACTAAAAGGACTCCCCCTATACCTCTCTCAGCCCCAGCCAGATTCTTTTTTTTTTTAAACATTTATTTTTATTTATTTATGCATATAAGAACTGGGGTATGGGTGGTGAGAGGAATCAACAGAGACAGAGTGTGGAGCAGAACTGGCAGATCTACTGAAGTACACCACTGAGGGGAGCAGCAGGCAAGATAGGAGAGGTTTACTGTGCCATGTGGGTTAGCTCCCTGGCTGAACTCAGGCCTCATGCCACAGTGGCTGGCAATTGCTCGATAGCTCTGAGACTTTAACTCCTGTGCCACCAGGGAGGCCCCCCCAACCAGATTCTTTTATTCCATCCAGCCTCTCAGAATCCTTCACATTTTTCCAGTGCCTCCTCCAACATTTCCTTTTCCCCTACCTCATGGCATCTCTCCTAACTCTCTGAGGCTCCCCTGAACTGGACAGCTAGGAACTGAGCATAGATGGAGGAGGGAGACAACTCCTCCAGGATCAAGGATCACTACTGCAGACACAGACACACAGAGCAGTCAACAGAGTGGCCTCCAGAGCTTAGAGGGAGAAACCCAAAGGCTTTTCTGGCTATAGAATTAGAGACTTACCGGCTGCTGAGGCAGTGGTCAGCTCTCCCTGGGGTCCAACAGCTTTGGAGAACTGAGCTGCTGTGACTGGAGAACCTGAGCTGGGCAGGCGTGGGGGCAGCACTGGCAGTGGGGGAGGGAGGGCAGTTATTAATAGAGATGATGAGTGCAAGCAGCTCAAATGGCACAGGGGGTACTGAGACCCTGAACCCAAGATCCCGCCCTCCTTGCCCAGAGGCTCAGGGAGCAGAGGAAAGGCCTTTGGGATTCTCCCACTGAACTGTTTGAACTAGACACCAGTCTGCCTAGGGACTCCCTTTCCCTTGGCCTGTAGAGTCTGCCTTCCAAAGAAGCATTGAGGGAGAAATTAAAAACTGACAGAGAGGAAGCAGGTAGCAAGTGGCAGATAGGAATCAGAGCGGGAGAGTGAGAGCCTGGAGAACATGTCCAGGGAGCTATTCGGAGCCAATCTATGCTGGGGATGAAGGGACACGTGGTTGCATTTTGGGAGTAGGAGGGCTTAGGTGCTATGTTTGGGGAAACAAAGTCTGTTTATAGTAGAACTGCTCTTTGAAAGATCCTGAATGTGTTGGTCTTTGCTCTGGGAGGATCAGTCCTAGGCAGAAAAAGACACCAACTTAAGCATGTCCAGTGCTTCTTAGGCTGTCAGGAATGATTGGAGGAAGACTTGACCAATTTCTGTCTTTTTACCCTCATTTGCTGTTGGGTGTACTCAGATCAGCCTTCTCTATCTATAGCTTCCCCTGAAAACATGTGGACTTGTAACCTGTCAGGCAGGGGCCTACTCTCTGAGGCTCCTATTTCGGATTTTTTTTTTTCTTTGTGGGACACTCGCCGGTGGCCAGGGAATCGAACTGGCGCTGCAGAGGCTGCAGGCAGCCTCGCAACCCAGTGCTCAACCGCTGCGCCACCAGGGGAGGCCCCTATTTTGGATTTTTTTATAGGGAGACTCTGGACTTACTCATTTGCTCTGTTCCAAAAGAGCTTTTAGGCAGGGACACAATCTTTTTTTTTTTTTTCAAGATTTATTTTTATTTATTTATGCATACAAGAACTGGGGTGTAGGCCAGAGGTGCAGGGGATGAGAGGATTCACCAGACAGAGTGGGGAGCAGAACAGGCGGATCTACTGAAATACACTGCTGAGGGGAACAGCGGGTGAGTCAGGGAGGTCTACTGCACCTTGTGGGTTAGCTCCCTGGCTGAACTCATGCTGCAAGTGGCTGGTGATATCTTGATAGAGCTGAAACTTTAACCCCTGAGCCACCAGAGAGGCCCAGGGACACAATTTGAGAGGCCCTTTAAGGCGCATTTGCTGACCTTTCCTTACTGGCAGCAGAACATCTGAATTCACCTCTACCTTCTGCTCAGGTTCTGGAACCAGTTGCTGCTGCATCTGTGAGCTGTAATTGCTACCCCTCTGTTGTGGCTACCATAGGAAGTAGCTTTTAAAGCTCCCAGAATAGACTTCTGTCCCTCTGTGAGCTCCCTTCTATATCTGACCATGTCCTTTCTCACCCTGAACTTTTAAGGTTCAGGCTAGGAGGTGAAAGGCCTCCCTGCCCCACTGCTAGTTGGCCTCTGCTCAGACAGATTAAGCCTCAGATCCCTGCTCTTTTGTCCCCTTTCTCTATTTCCTTTCAAAGAAGCAATTAGAAGAAAAAACATAAATAGCAAAATGTGATTTCAGGTCCTCCCTGGTGGCACAGGGGTTAAGACACAACCTATGAAGATATCCAAAGCCTCTGCAGCATGAGTTCGATCCCTGGCCGGCCAGGAAGTTACCCACATGACGCAGCAGACCTCTCCTGACTCGCCCACTGCTCCCCTCAGCAGTGTATTTCAATCAGTCTCCCTGTTCTGCTCCCCACTGTCTTTGGTGAATCCTCTCACCACCACCCCCACACCTCTGGCCTGTTCTTATATGCATAAATAAATCTTTAAAAAAAAAATGTGATTTCATCATCACTACCGTATTCACTTCCAAAACAAAACAACAACAAACTGAATTTTTGGTCTCCTATGATTGAGTACCTAAAGTGACTGAGTGGGAGAAAGCATTATTTAACCTATTTTCTCTGGGCCCTTCCTTTGAAATTCTGAGACTTTGTATTTGGGAGTATTAAGGTCCTGGGCCTCTTGATCAGCACCAATACTCCCTCTGGTGGTAAAATTGGAACACTTGTACTTTCCTTCTCAGAAGTCTAATTCTCTTACAGCTTGCTCCCAGGACCTTTTCTTGTCTCAATTCGTACTGATCCATCCTTTCTCTCCCTCTATCTCTCACCCCACATTCATCTCTAGTCATTGTCAACTCTTTAATTCCAACATGGTTGGATTACTCTGGGCCCACGGTGGTGATTGCAGACCCTGCCTGTTGAGCAAGGCTGCTGGACTATCTTTGACCAGCTCCTGGTTAAAGTGGAGTAGGACAGAATTGGTAGAGAAGAGCAAAAGATCAGGGTGGTGAAAGGCAAAAAGGTGGAAAGTAGGAGAACATGAATGGAGATAGATATCAGGAATCAAGAGATCAAAATAAAAATAACAAAATAGGGGCCTCCCTGGTGGCGCAAAAGATTAAATGTCAGCACTATGAAGCAATCCACAGCAACTGAAGCACAGGTTTGATGCCTGGCCAGGGAGCTAAACTACAAGGCACAGGGGACCTCTCCTGTCTAGCCTGCTGCTCCCCTCAGCAATGCATTTCAGTCAATCTACCTGTTCTGCTCCCCACTCTGTCTCTGGTGAATCCTCTCACCCCCCACACCTTTGGCCTACACCCCAGCTCTTGTATGCATAAATACATAGATCTTCTAAAAAAATAAAAAATAAATTAAAACAAAATAAAAAGGGATCAAGAGATCAGGGGAATGGATTTGCAAAGATCGAGGAGAGAACAGAATGAGCATATAAAACTAGAAGAGATGACAACAATGAAAGGTATAGGGAATACGTTTATTCTTGTGCACAAACCAAAGTGACACACACCCACTATGCAAAGGAAACAGCTGGTTTCCAGGTCAAGCAGCAAACGTGACTGGTGGTCATGTTGAGAGGGGAGTCCATACCCTTTTAGGATCAGAGATCAGGACCTGAAGCTGAAAAGGAACAGGGCTAAAATTTGAGGGATAGGGCAGGACTGAAAAGAGATTTTGGCTCTAAGGGTTTCCTTGCACTTTCCCAGGTAGTCATGACAAGCTGCAGAAGACAGGAAAAAATGCAAAGGAGGTAGCACAGATAGTTGTTTTTCGACACTCAGCCCACACTCTCATGTCCCTCCCTCAACATGCCCCTTCACTCTAACAAATAGACTCTCCTCCCTCATATTTTCCCTCATCCTCCCTCTTAAACATAGTTGGTTTCTTGTTACCCAACTTTACTCTCTGCCAACTATGCCCGCTCCCTCATCATGCTCCTCTCTGTGAATCAGTTTCATTCATTTCAGTTCTGCCCCTGGTTTCTGCCTCTGCCTCACTTTCCACACATGGCTCTTTTTTTCCCTCCTTTGTCTTAAGCTGTAAGGCAATGAAGTCAATGACTTTTCATGCTCAGAGGAAAAAAAATTTTTTTCACTTCCTGGGTGCTTTCTTGCTTAGTAGGGACCTCTCAAGTTGCTAACCTTCTTAAATCATGAGAAATAGAATTCTTAGTTCTATCCTTGGTCTAGCTGGTATAACTCAATCTATAAAATTGCCCTGACCCCTCAAGTCTTTACATACTCCACAAGTTTCACAGGACACCTGCTGCCAGCACTGTGAATCTCTTTCTCTCTACTAGATGATCCATATTGGAATATCTCATCCTCCTTTCATCAGTTCAAGGGAAGACTCAGATAGGGTTTTTTGTTATACCTCTCTACTTACTCTTGCCTCAGGCAGAAAAGCACATCTGTGCATACACATACAGTTACACACACACACACACACACACACACGCACACACACACACACACCCCTAGGTATGTGCTAGCCTAGCTTGGGAAAGAAGAGCAAGGAGTAGGGAGTTACTTAGGGCAAACAGGGGCCAATTCAGTACTTTGCTACCTGCCTCTTGGTGACCTTCTTCCCGGAGGTCCCAGTGGTAACTTCCATGTGCTTCTTACTGAATGTTAAAATGAGGCCCACAAAGAAAAAAGCACCAATGTGGAGACATAGAGACCAGTGAAGGAGTATGGGAGGAGAGACCTAAAGATAAAGACAGAGATAAGGGCAAGGAACTAGAGAGACAAAGGAAGCACCAATACCAAAGCAGAGAGAGAAGGTTGGAAAGCAGGAGGGACATTAGGAGGAAGCTGGGGGATGGGACACTAACTCCAAAACCATCTGAGGCAGGAGTGAAATTAGCCTCCAGATGCCTGAGGGAGCAGATGGGATGGGTAGGAGAAGCAACTTTAGGAACTGGGTGTTCTACCTCTCCTTGGTCCTGGGAGCTGTGACCTGCTCAGCGATGACTTGTCCCAGGCCTCCACACATGAGCCTGCAATCCTGTCCTGGTGGCTGAAAATCTAGGCCTGGCTACCTGGAAGCCACAGGAGCTGGGAGAGGCCCCAAGACTCCTGGGAGACTCGGGAGGAGGGGCTGGGCTAAGGGCAGGGGTTGAGGCCAGCTCTGTCCTCCAGATGGGTTCATCCAGTGTAGTGGCTGCTCGAGGGGCAAGCACAGTGGGGGCAAGGGGCTCTGCAGTAGGCTGGGGTGCTGGAGTGGAAAATCGGCGGATTTCCTGGACTCGGGCAATTTTAGGGGGCCCTGAGGAGGTGGGGCCAGGAGTTGGAGGAACCTCATCAAAACAGAACATAGCAGTTTTAAGCTGGTAGGGCTGATGCCTCATGAAGTCAAGAGCCTTGATACCCTGTTTAGGGGTTGCCTGAGGCGCTTGGGTTTGGACCTTATTAGGGAGAGTTCGGGCAGCCTGGGGGAAAAATGGAGAGAGCAGTGGGTTGTAAGCAATAGGAGGTGGGGCGCGAATATTAGGTGAATATTTCCAGGAAGGTGGCAGTGATGGGGTAGGAGAAGGGCTTCTGGGTCGAGGGCCAGAGCCAAAGCCAAGGCCAGGTGTAGCTTCTATTACATACCTGTCTGCTCGGCTCTGCCGCTTGGCAAACAGCTCCCCACCCCGCCCCAAAAGCTTTGGTGTCTCCGAAGGGGCTCCCCCATTCACTAACCCATCAAAGAACTCTCTAGACTGGGGCTTAGGAGCCACTGGGGGTGGAGTCTTAGGTGTCACAGGGGGTGGGGTCTTAGGAACCACTGGAGGCGGGGTTTTGGGTGTGATGTGAGGCGGTATCTTGTAGCTCCTGCCCCCTGGTGGCTGCATGAAGTTGCAGGCTTCGGCCCCGAGACTTAGGGCATCCTCCTCCGGACCAGATTCAGCTCCGCCAGCCCGGGGCTTTTCATCCAGGTTCTGCACCAGCGATAGGAGCTCAGGGTTGGGCGAGTTCTTCGTCTCCTCGTTTCCCGGCCTGAACATCTGCTTCCTGGTCCCCCGGCGCCGGGCCTCCTGGAGGATCCCTGTACGGGCGGCTGGCACGGAGATGCGCTGCTCCCGAGCGCTGGGGGACTCCGGGGCCGCGGGGCCTGGGGCGGGCGTCTCTAGTGGCACAGCGGGTCGCAGAGGCGCCGATAGGAAGATGGAAGCGGTGGAAGTCATGGCAGCTGCGCTGGGGGGTGAGGGAAGCTCTGGGACCCCGCCAGGTGTAACTGGACGATTAGGAGCTGGGATGTACAGGGAGCTAGTGGCCATCACAGGGCCCGAGGAGCGTGGGGTGCTGGGAGGACCTGAGCCTGGCACCTGGCTGGGAGCCTCTGAAGTGAAGCTGGGCAGAGGGCTGGGCCCCTGCAAAGAGGACAAGAAGGGCGGTGGGGCAGGGCTGAGACCTCCCTGACTTTCATTCACCTTCTTAGGGGCCTGGGGCCTGAAAATAACCGAGGAGGTACTTGACCGCTGCCCTTGTAAGCCTGGGGTGAAGGGCCTGGCTGATCGGTTAAACATGCTCGGAGCTGGCGCTGGGACTCCACTGCCTGGGAGGAAGGGTCTGGGGCTGGCTACTGGGGCCAGCAAAGGGCTGGATGGGAGCACAGCGGTTTCAGGGACTCCACCGCCTGGGAGGAAGGGTCTGGGGCTGGCTACTGGGGGCGGCAAAGGGCTGGATGGGAGCACAGCAGTCTCAGGAAGGGCACTCTGGGCCCAAGGTGGTGACTGCAGGTCCTGCCCGTTGAGCAAGGCTGTTGGGCCATCCTTGACCAGCTCCTGGGTGCTGGTGGCTGCTCGCTGGCGCTGCTGTTCAAAGAGCTGGGCTCCTCGTCCAGAGGTTTCACTCAGCCCCAGACCTGGGCCCTCTGCTGCACCTGAGGCCGGCCTGGCCAGTTCCATGTCCAGATAGGGGCTGTCCCAGTCAGACTGGTTGGTGAGGCTGCGGGCGTCAGAGAAGGTCTCCTCATCCAGCTCAGACTCACTGGTGGGAGGAACTCCGTCTTCCTCTTCCTCAGTGCCTGTCCCAGCCGCAACCCCAAAGCTCACTAAGGTGTACTTCTTGGCTCTCTGCCTCCGTTTCTTAAACATAAGCACCCCCTTGGAGTGGGGATTGGGGGCTGCAGTTAGCAGGGATGCAATTGTCCTGCATTTGGTCTTGGCTTCCTTCACACTCTTCTCTTGAAGGCTCTCTGCCCGTTGCAGTTCTAAGGAAGTCAGGAGAGAGAAGGGTCAGTAGGCCTCTCCTAGTTCAGTTCCCCAAGGCTTTCACCCCTACCCCAGGCAACTCCCTCAGTTCTCCCACCTACTGGCTTTTCACAGACCTGACCCATAATGTCTGATTTGGGGGCAGGGTGAAGGGTGAAAGGTGAAACCAAGGACAGTTGAAGGTAAGACAGTCTAGTTGGCTGCCCTGACACTACTCTGACCAGAGCTATGCTCCCATCCTCTCTTCCCTCCACTCTGCCTCTGCCTCCCCCAAGATGTGTTTTACCCACACACATTCCTCCCATACCTCACTCCATTCCTGGCTGGCAATTCACTGGGTTGGGGGGGGGGGGGATTGAGACAGGGCCACTTCCCTTGGCAGGCAGGGAGAAGAGGCAGGTCCCAGGGAGAACAAAGATAAGAAGGGACACTTTTCTCCTACCACAGAGACAATGCTAGGGGGCTTTTCAGAAAGTCTGGGACTTATTCCCTCTCCTCAGCCCTTCTCTCTCTGCTTAAGGACACAAGGGACCCTTAGCAACAAGGATCTTCATTCAAAATTGCACCCCATCAGTCCTCATCATACACACCACCACACATCATTTTGACAAGAATAAGAGTCTTGTGAAAGGCAGCTATAGGCATATTTTCTCATATGTACGTTTCTCTCTCATTCACACATACATCCAGCTTATACACACTGCAGTTCACATACACATATGTAAATATACATGTGCCCACACAAAAACACACAGTTACTCAAATACACTCACACACATACATATTCCAGGTGGCCCTTCTTCCCAGAGATTTTGTGCAGAGACTAAGTGTTTGGACAAAATTTTAGAACTGAAATTGGTCTTGTAACCGCCAGAACATAGGCAGTTATGAACCGCCAGAACATAGGCCTTATACCCCTGCTACTCACAGACAGGGATAGCCTCAGATCTGAAAGCAGGAAAAGCCAGACTTTCTTTCCTAAACTGTTGAGGTAATTCCCCTTCACTCTAGAACCCAGAGTTATGCTCTCCAAGGCAACCCTCCAAATCTTTAGGATACCTCAAGGTGATCAGCTAAATATATTCTCCTTTTCCCCAAGCTGATGGACTTCTTTGGCAGTGGGGGTCATATCTGCTTCCTATTTTCAAGTCTTTTAGGTAGAGAAAACAGCAACTACCAAGCAGGCAAGCAAAGACTGTGTGCTAAGGGGAAACAGGGCAAGGTTTCCCATACTATGTAGGGCCTGGGAGGTGGGGCCAGGAAATGGGAGAGGCTGCCCTGCTGGCTAGGCCCCTGCTTTGGAAACATACTCTCTGGTCCACAGTTCCCAGTTCCTACTGAAAAATTCTTGAAATTCCATCTCTTTCCACTCAAGATACTAAGCTCCTTACCAAATAGGGCTCTCATTCTGCTCATCTTAATGCTGATGTCAAATAATAGTACTGTTGGTGAGAGACATTATAATCAGAATTTGATTTAGGTTTTTGGCTCTTGGGAAAGTTAGTTCACATCATTGAAGGACAGTATTCTCGTCTGTAAATAAAGATGACAGTGACTACCTCAGAGGATTGCTATGAGGATTAAATGAAATAATGTAGGTAAACTTAGCATTTGATGGTAACTCTAAGACCTAATATAAATAGCCAATACTATCAAAGTTTTCTTGATACTAGCCTAGCTTCACTGAATAGAGATATTTTCTTGTCACACATACCTTCTCCCACAGACACTCAATATGCATGCCTACATATACTCGTAGATTACTCACACTGCTCTCTCACACATACTCTCTCCCCCTGAATTTTCTGTAGTTCTTGTGGCTACAAATCCCTTTGACATGTGACCAAAGCATCAGCCCATTCTGAAAGAGAGGCAGTAAAACTCCTGAGAAAAGAAGGAGGAGGAAGTCAAAAAGAAGGAGTTGATAAGGGAATAAGACCTTTCCCAAAGACTTTCCTTCTAAACTGTCGAGGTAATTCCCCTTCACTCTAGAATCCAGAACTCTCTTAGTTATGAGAAGGTAGTACCTGCATAGAAAGGGTCCTGGAGCTCAGGAACAAGTCCTGTGGCTTTGTTGCAGCTGGCTTGGCTGAGGGGTTCTTGGCTGATGGACTCAAAGGCCTCCATCCTGAGAACAGTGTTGGCTGGAGCAGGACCAGCTTGAGCCATCCCCCAGGCTTTTTAAAGGCTCTTTGTCTTGTACCCCAGAGCTGGCAGCTGAATGAGCTCACTGTGCTATTTTTGGAATCTGGCCCCCTCCCTCTCTAGGCTGCCCCACAAGCTCTGGTGTGATGGACGTGAGCACCTGCCTATACTTCCCCTCACCCCATCCCACTGGACAATAAGGTCTGCTGGGCTAAAAATAACTTGGGCCACTAACTACAGTCTCACCCAGCATAAAGGGAATGGAGAGTGCTAAAATGAGAATTGGGGATAAGCATGGGATCCTGGGCATGCATCTGGAATTTCTTTGTGGGATATTAGACAATCTCAGGGATGTCAGACTCTAAATTGTCAGGTCCTTAGCTTTTATTCCACATTCAGATACAAAATTCTATGAACCAGGAATCAGATGGTGGAAGGGAGGAACAAGAGATGAAAACTAGAGGAATAACCCTGAGATTTCTGAGGTGACAAGAAATGTCTCTGGGGAGAGGTACGGGAGGCATAGGACAGGGATTTACTCTTAGCTTTTGTTTGGTAGCTCACTGAAAAATAGCAAAGAGCCTGAGATAAGTGGAACTAGCTTTCTCTGTCTAGGCCTACATTCTTGCCTGAGATAAGGAGCCAAACATTCCCCCCTCTTTACCACTTCCTAGGGATCTCATGACTATCTCATAGCCTCCCAGTACCCAGAAATCCTAATTGAACTTACACATGTCAAAGGAGTTCTGCTGCTATGCCCGCAGCTATACTGAAGAGCCCCTGACATGTGGCCAAAGCATCAGCCCATTTTGATGCCCTACTTCCTAATACTCTTTTTTTTTTTTAATTTATTTATCCATTTATACAAGCACTGGGTACAGTCAGAAGCGGCAGGAGAGGTCTGCGCGCCATGTGGGACCCTCCTCTGGTGGCCGGGGAGCAGCCGGGGATCGAACCGGCGCTGCAGAGGCTGCGGGCAGCTTCACAACCCAGCGCTCAACCGCTGCGCCACCAGGGGAGGCCCCCTAATACTCTTCTGCCCCATGTCTGCACTCATCACTCACCCCATCTAACATCTAGCAAAATCATAGCAACAACAAACAAACTACTGATTTATACTCCTTTCCATATTCCCTACTTTTCCTGTTCCTGGGTTAAGTTGAAACACCTGTACCTTTTGCCATACGGCTCAAACAGCAAAAAGAATGGAGAGCATGAGAATTATTTTCCCCTCCAACTGATGCCTCTCTGCCACTTGTCCCGAAGACTGTACCAAGGGAAGTATAAAGAAGGTAAAGCACATAGTTTTGGAGGAGTAGATTTAAGCTCAGAGTGAAAGATCTGGCCAGCGAAAAGAGGTTCAGGTACTCACTGGCTTGCTTGGCCTTCTGGGTATAAGTAGTAGTAAGATCTTCTGCTACTGGGTGAGGAACAGGCCCTACCATAGGGATGAGATGAGGGCCAGGCCGGAGGGGCCCATGGGGCAACAGCAGAGCCTCAGCTGGCGGTGGCTGAAGGGTTCCCCCATCCTCCCAAGACGGGGAGCTCACGCGGCTATCACCCTGGCTGGGAGAGCCAAGGACGGTAGGCACTGGCTCTGCAGGGCTGTCAGACAGGTAGGTCTCATCAGATGGGGCTCCTGGAGCTGTGGGCCTGGTGGGGCCCCGGCGGCGGGGTCGGCGGGGCTTTTCCTGGGTGGCAGAGCCATCAGCATCACTGTCTGTCTCTCCATAGTAAGCTTCACTGTCAGGAGGTGAGAGGAGGCTCCCAGGCTGAAGAGGTTGGGGAACTGGAGCACCAGGAGGCTCAGGACTCAGGGGAGATAAGGGCGATAGCACCTGAAGTTCACGAGGGGATGGAGATCGCACAGGCCCTTCATCCTCTATCCTGGATGGGAAAGAGGACAGAACTTGAGAAATGACCTGGATGACTGACAGCTAGAGAGATCTGGAGGGGATGGGAGAAGGAGGCAAGGGAGAGAGAGGACTAGCATATAGGTGGAATGGATGGCCTGGGAATAGTGAAGATCTGAAGACAAACTGGGAAGCAAATATGCTTGGATATCTGAGAGTGGAAATGGGCTTAAGAGACATATGATAAGGAGAGAGACAAGGGATAGAAGTAGGCCCTCAAACTCAAATACCCACTCGATCCTTCCACCTCCTAATTGCAGAAACATTCAAGTCATTTGAGGGGCAGGTGCAAACATCTGGACTCCACAATCACATCGGCAGAAATGGGTACTTAACGGTTGAAGCCAGACCAGTAAGACACAGAACTGAGACAGAAGATGGGAGCCCTACACTAGGAGTTTAGGGGTACAGTAAAGTGGGAGGGTTCCATACCTCCGAACAGTGAGGACAAGCTGATTCCCAGATGCATCAATGAGGCTCATGGCACTGGCATGAGAGAGGCTGGTACAGGAGACCCCATTGATGGCCAAGAGCTGGTCCCGCTCCCGGAGTCCTGCTCTGCCAGCCTGGCTGCGTCTTCGGATCTGGGAAGGTGTGGAAGACAGACTGTATGTGAGGGAGGGTTCCAGGGAGGAATAGAATGGAGGGAGTTGAAACAGGAAGGAGGGCCTCCTTGGTGGCTCAAGGAGTCACACAACCTATGAAGCTTTTCGCAGCCACTGCAGCACGGGTTTGATCCCCAGCCAGGGAGCTACCCACATGGTGCAGCAGACCTCTCCTGACTCACCCACTGCTCCCCTCAGCAGTGTATTTCAGTCAACCTGTCTGTTCTGCTCCCCACTCTGTCTTTGGTGAATCCTCTCACCACCACCCTGCACCTCTGGCCTGTACCCCAGTTCTTGTATGCATAAATAAATAAATCTTTAAAAAAATAGGAAGGACCCATGTGAGAGGGAATTTCACATTTTTATTTGAAAGGAGTAAGGAGGGCAGGGGTCTGCAGCTGAGGGGACTTATTTAGAGGGGAGAAGGTATAGGTTGGAGGGAGTAATAAATTAGATGAGGGTAGGCAATGTTATCACTGAATAAAGAGACTTGTGGGAAATGACAGGGGAAAGGTACTAGAAGTTGTGTTTATAGCCCCTGAAGATTTTCCTCCAATGTACTAGCAATAGCGTTCTTCTAGGCCTTGGAATCCCTGGTGCCACTCTCTACAGTCAAGATTTTACAATAGCATTCCAATTTGGAGGGAGTCCAGCAAATTCTGGGAGGAGGTTGTGATTTTGTGTATATATGCATGCCATGTAAGCACTCACATGTACATGTCAGAGTTGTAATAGTGGCTACCATTTATTGAGCGCTTATTAAATGTTAGACACTGTGCAAAAAACTCTACATATATTATTGTATTAAGTTCTTACAATGGTTCTATGAATTACTGTAGTTACCTACATCTTACAGTTAAGAAAACTAAACTTGTATAGTGAAACCCAAAACGGCCACAACTTCATCTGACAGGCCAGATCTTGCCATAACCCTCCCAGCACCTAAAAAAAAGTCTTGTCTGGTGAGAGAAAAGATCTCTTCAGGGAAAGAGGCACACTGAAGGCATGGTTGGGCTGGACTGAACTAGGCTGAACTGGTTTGGGTGAGAAAGCCTTAGCTCATCACATTTAGTTAGAGAGAAATTAGAACCTTCCCTACATTCCTGGAGTTTGGAATAGAGGCACAGATCCAGGAGAGCAGACTAGATAGCCAGACTCATGCCTTTTCTACAATCGTGCCACAGGGAACTAAGGCAATCTTTCTCTCCGTTTCCAGAAATCAGGAATTTCTACTTCTAGTAACGCCCCCACAAGACGCCTATGCTCAAACACTACTCCCCCCACCAGATTTGAACATGCGAACCTGCCCACCCCCGTTCTCATTTTCACAGCCCCCCACTTCTTCCCTGTGGATCATCACATGAATTCCCAGGTTCCCCTAGGTTCCCCTTTTCCTGAAACCTTAATTTAGGGGCTCTCCCTTACCTTGGACACCTGTAAGGGTTTCCTCTGCTCGGCCCCCCCATGAAGTCGGAAGCCCCAGGGGGCTCCCCCTGATAGTGTGACCAGCACCTTCTCCTCAGCACCCATCGCTCAGATTGGCTTATGGCTCTCGGAGTTTGTACAGTGCCCCAGAGAGAGAAGTCGAGGTGCTTGTACCCCGTCCGGCCTGTCTGGCTGTCCAGCTCCTGCTGCCCCAGGCCTTCTCCCCCTCCCCCCACCACACACCACAGGCAGGCAAATTGGCCCTGGGATCAGTACAGTCCAGCACACGTGTCCTGTCAATCCGAGCTGTGCTCAAGATAGTTACTGGCTGTACTCGCCTCCCTCCCCCAGCTGTATAACTCCCAGAGCTAATTATAGTAAAAACTTCTGTCCTCTCCTGTCCCCCATTCCCCTGCATGGGCCTTTACTCAGGATTCAGAATACCAAACTCCAGGCTGGATACCCTTTCAGCAACTGTGCTTTTCCTGATAGCATCATGGACTGTTTTCCTCCAAAGTTCATTTTCAAAGTGGCAGCAGCAGGGGCTTCAATCCCAGAGCAAGGAATTGCTAGATTTGTCACACAAGTTCCCAAAATATCCAGAAAATTATCCCTTTCATGTGTGAATATACCTATTAATCAAAGTGGAGATTTATATCCCACTGCTGGATGCAGAGGATTTCTGATCAGCCCTGTCTGCCTCAGTTGAGCTGTTACCTCTCTGGTTAAGCCTTTCCTACCCATTTCCTGACTCCCTACCTACAGAATTAATCCTCCCTTCCTCTAGGCAACATAGTATCTTGTTCATGGTGCTATTAGTATATTTTCCACCCAATATCATAGTTGGCTTATAGGCCTGTCTCCCCCTCAGACTGTGAGAAACATGAAAGCAAGGACTATGTGTAACAATCAACAGCCTACAGAGCAATTGCTGACATAATGGGTGCTCAACAAATGATTACTGAATTAAATTATTTCTTACAATACACAGGTAGTCATGTAAAGGTGACTATAGATGCATGTTTATAAACATGCCAACCCATGATAATGATAAAAGATCTACTTATTTTTAAGATTCCATTACTTGAACATGCCCTATGTCATGAAATATTTCTGTAATAAAACATAACATTATGATGCTGTAACTATAATTATAAAAACTACAGAGTTTCCTGGAATAGCTGCCTTCCTAGTGTGCTTCCTTGGTGTATGATGCATAGAAATCACTTGGGTTTTAGTCAGAATAACTGGACTTGAACTCTTGTTTCATCATTTATTAGTTGTATGTTCTTGGGCAGTTACTTGAACTTATCAGTAAAAAAAAGTATCTAAACATCCATTCTTTCACTTGTCAAGCATTTATTGAGTGACAGTTAAATGTCAGCCATTATGCTATACCAGTGGCATTCAATTAAGTACACATTAGAATCACCTGGAAAACTCTCAAATTTATCGGCTCCCTAAAATAAGACAGTGTATAGGGTTAGATGATTGTGTCATAAAAAACTTATTAATGTTATATATTATTATATGTATAATATATATTATTAATGTATAAAAAATGATTCTCAGACCTCAGTCCTGAGGATTCTGATTTTATTGGTCTGGTAGGTTCCCGGCATTGCCAGTTTTAGAACCACAGATGATTCTAATATACCAACAGATGATTGAGACCGGAGTGGGGATACCCACTAAAATGCAACATACCATCCTCAAGAAACTATGTATGTGGCTGTAGGGTCAGGAATGGACACAGGGCAGGTTTTCTAATATCCAGCAGACTGGGTAAAGGAGGAATCAGAGTCCTTAGTGGCTTTTTGCAGGTCTTTTTATTGGGATTTACCCGGTACACAGCAGGTAAGGGTGCTGGGGGGCCGGGAGGCTGGCAGTCCTCCCAGCCCCCAGCAAGTCTTCACTTTATCTGGGCTCTCCAGCCTTCTCTCAGCTGCTGCTTCTATCTTGGCTTCTCTTTCGGCTTCTGCTGCTGCTGCTGGTGTCCCCGTGACGTCGCCCTTAAAAGCCCAGTCTTAGCCCAGGTGAATCCCATCTACATATGCCCACACCCTATTCCAGGTGCCCGCCATCAGGCATGCATTCAGAACCTCAAGGATCCATCATCTATCCTGATGGTGGGAGGGCAGAAAAGCCTGACATTTTCTTTACCCTACAGTGGCCACTACCATTTACGAGGAGTGCAGCCTTAAACAAGACAGGGGAAACCCACTTGCCTATGCCGATATGAAATTTAAATGGGATAAATTATGTGAAAATGCTAGTAGACGGCTCAGTCTAGGGGAGCCTAGAGGGCCCAGCCAGATACCTAACAAATGTTAGCTTAATTTGGCAAATTATTAATCTAGACTGGAGAATCTCAATCCTAAATGCACAATGGAGAACCTATTACTAAACCATAGCTTATTGGGCCTCACCTCCAGAATTTCTGATTCAATATATCTTGGGGGAGGAGTCTGAAATTTGTATTTCATCCCCCCTCCAACACTTTTCTAATAGAGTTTTATTCCAGAACAAATGGTTTTACAACAAAGCTGATTTAAGGCCCAAGACATATCCCAATGGGGAACAGCTTCTTCGTTTTTCACCCACAAACCAAAGGAATAAAGCTACTGCTCAGCTGTTGAAATCCGTAGTTCTAACAACTTTCCAGGTGATACTGATTCAGGATCACAGTTTGAGAACCTCTGACCTGAATTACAAACTCCTGAGGACAGGAACAATCTGCCTATTTATTATTGATGTTTCCAACACATACTAGAAGTACAATTATTCCAATTTTCATCCTGAACCTCAAAACAACTATGTTGTCAACAATATGAGCACAAGCGCCTCCTTGGTGATGCAAGGGTTAACGTCTCAGTGCTATCAAGCTATTGCCAGCCACTGCGGCATGAATTGGATCCATATTAAGGGAGCTAACCCACATATGGCGCAGCAGACCTCTCCTATCTCACCTGCTGCTCCCTCAGAGATATTTCAGTAGATCCGCCTGTTCTGCTCCCCATTGTCTCTGGTGAATCCTCTTACACCCCACACCTCTGGCCTACGCCCTAGTTCTTGTATGCATAAATAAATAAATCTTTAAAAACAATACTGTTCAGAACATCCTTTCCCTCTAACAATAAGAGTGCAAGAATATTTGTTTTGTTCAATATTGTACCATTAGAACCAAGAACATAGCTTGCCACACAGTGGTGCTTAAAAATAATTCAAATAAATTATTGAAAGGATTAAATGTGATCACGTATATCCTTTAAAACCCTACAAAGGGGCCTCCCGGGTGGCACAGGGGTTAAAGACAGCGCTATCAAGCTACTGCCAGTCACTACAGCACGAAATCGATCCCCAGGCGGCCAGGTAGCTACCCACATGGCACAGCAGACCTGTCTCCACAGCTGCTCCCCTCAGCAGTGTATTTCAGTAGATCTTCCTGTTCTGCTCCTCACTCTCTCTGGTGAATCCTCTCACTGCCCCCCCCTCCCCTTTGGATTACACACAAGTTCTTGTATGCATAACTAAATAAGTATTTTAAAAAATATATAAAAAACCCTACAAATACTAGCTACAAGTATTATTAATTATTATTTTTTTTTTTTTAAAGTTTACCAAGTCATGGTAAATCGTTTTGTTTTTTTTTTAAATTTATTTATGCAAGCACTGGGTAAAGTCAGAAGCGCGGGAGGGTGAGAGAATTCACCAGAGCCAGAGCGGGGAGCAGAGCAGGCAGAAGGACCGAAGTACACTGCTGAGGGGAGCAGCGGGCGGCAGGAGAGGTCTGCGCGCCATGTGGGACCCTCCTCTGGTGGCCGGGGAGCAGCCGGGGATCGAGCTGGCGCCACAGAGGCTGCGGGCAGCTTGGCAACCCAGCGCTCAACCGCTGCGCCACAGGGGAGGCCCTATTAATTATTATTAACAGGATAGTAGACATCATCCCTGGTTACATTTAACCCAAAAGCTGCATTTAAACCAAAAAATGGTTAACAGCATACTATTACTGAGAGCTTACTGTAGTGTCAGGCAACCTACATAACTTGTCTAATTCCATCTTCCTAAAAAAAGTACTAGATGAGCATTTAGTATTCTCTCCATTTTACAAATCAAGTTAGCTGAGGCAAAGATTTAACTACTCAAGCTGCGTAATGCAGAGTTCAAACTTGGAAGTTCAAAAGTATTATTATTGCCCTTTGCCAAAATAAGTTTTTCAAATTTCCTGACCAGCAAAGGTCAGGGGTGAGAACAGCCCTCAGACGTAAATCAATGGGGTCAGGGGTCAGCAGGAAGTAGCTACAGAACTCTAGATCAGAGGTCATTATGTTATAGGACAGGGAGAGGGGCAGCCCAAACCCCGCAAACCTGCCTATTCTAAATGGGTTCTGCCATCCGCCGCATCAACACAAAACATATGACACTTTAATGGGAAGGACCACCCTGTTACAATTAATATGTCACAGGCGGATAGAGCGGGAATTACTTAAAATAGTTTCACTTAACTTTTCTCAACTGCAGCTCAACTGGTGGGACCACAAGGTTACAAGGACATCTAAAAATATATATATATCGCAAATGCACATGAATCTGCGGAGTCTTTCAGGAGGCGGCCATGATAGATGGAAAGGCGCATGCGTGACATCCGGGTTCCTGAGCGTGTGCAGCTAGCAGACGTGGCAGAAGGAGTGTCCCGGCTCTGGAGCGTGGGGGTGGAACTTCCGTGGATGACGCGCCGACTCCCTCGGAACCGGAAGTGGAGCCTGGGAGCCTTGACGTTAGGAACGAAGTCGAACCTGGATCTGGAGCCGGGTGAGGAGGGGCTTCGGGAGACTGGTGGGTAGGAAAGCAGAGAGGCCCGGGTATTACTGGCCAGATCGGGGTCCGACCTGAAAAGGAAGGGAGGAGCCGGGAGGCGGTCCCCGGGAGAGACCCTTAACTAACGCATCCTCAACCCTGGATCAGTCCTAGACCCTCCCTCTCTCCTCCCGGCCCAGATTCCGGCTCCTGCTTCCTGCCCCGAGCTTGTTGAAGGGCGCAGGACACTCGATCTCCAGGTTCAATGTACCGGGTCTCTATTTCTTCGGGGCCCGAGAAGCTGGTTT